ATATATATATATATAAAATCACACACATTAAAAATTAAATCTACGAAAAGAGGCTCCATTCTTACCTATTCGATTCTAGTACCTGTTACTGGACAACAACAAACCTACCAGGTATGAAAGCATAGCTTGACTTTGGGAAGGTGGTGTTCTACAGATATCTGTATAAACATGAGTGAGAAGCATGTACATTCTGGAAACAGATCGGTGGCAAAATGAACTATCGCACCCTTCAATAGGGATGGCTTGAAAATACATATCACGGGATGGGATCGTGGATCGAGCCATAGGGTCCTTGGTGCACAAGCATGAGGAGCTGAATTCAGTTACCAGGATTCACATAAAAAGCTGGGCATGGTGGACTACACCTGTAATCCTAGCACTGGGGAGGTGGAACCAGCCTAACTGACCCGATGAGCTCAGTGAGAAGCTTTATCTCCATGGCATTGACCTCTTGCCTTCACACATGCACACATGTGTTCATATATCTGCACAGGCAAAAAGGGAAAGAAAAAGAGTCACAGAAGACGCCCAGATGATGATGAGGTAAGTCCCCACGTGACCTGGACTGTGCCATGTTTAGACTGGAGAGTTAGGACAAATGTCCACATCGAGAAAATCCACAGAAAGCTCAGTTCAGATGATAGACATGAGCACACCGGGAACATCATTCATCTCTGCCAGAGACTGAAGGAATATATTCATAAGTGCAACACAGAAAACTGAGAAAAGAGAAAGACAAGGCAATGAGTGACTCAAGGAAAAAAGAGAATCGATCATGGTTCAACACAGAGTTCAGCTTGGGGGCAATAGCCACAGTCACAGAAATATCAATAATAAATGCCAGCCCACTGAAGAATGTCAGTGCGAGCCTCCCGGTAACTGTGGAAGATACATTCCAAGATCTCAGTAGATGCTTGAGGCTGGAGATAGTACCAAATTCTACATACATGTACCTATGGTAATGTATAGTTTATAAATCAGACACTAAGAGGCTAACAATAACAATGAAATATAACCATTCTAACAACGCCTTGTAACAAGATTAATGTATTTCCTCTCCATCTTCAATATCTAATTGTACTTTCCCCTTTTACTTGAAGCGTCTGTCAGGAATGATTTAGAAAGAAAGAAAGAAAGAAAGAAAGAAAGAAAGAAAGAAAGAAAGAAAGAAAGAAAGAAAGAAAGGAAGGAAGGAAGGAAGGAAGGAAGGAAGGAAGGAAGGAAGGAAGGAAGGAAGGAAGGAAGAGAAAAAAGAAAGAAAGAAAGAAAGAAAGAGAAAGAAAGAAAGAAAGAATGAAAGAAAGAAAGAAAGAAAGAAAGAAAGAAAACCTGGAGCTGAAATTGGCTCCGAGTCCACTTCAGTCATGGACTCCATGAAGAGGCAAACAGAAGTGGTCACTTCATTGTCTTGCTGTGGTGGCTTTGCGGAGCAGACACTCAGATGGGACCCACCCTAGTCCTTACCCAGTTGCCACTTTCGGGAACACATGGTCTCCATCATCCAGATGGGCAGGGCGGGCTCCAGCATGGCTATCCCCATGTTTGCAAAGCAGATGGAGCCTGTGTAGGAGGAACAGTGTTAGTGTGCTTGTGCCTGCATACTGAGTGTCTGTGGTCACTTGAAATGCAGATCCCATGGGTCCCAGCTCAGAGACCCACTCCCATAAGATAAAAGCTAAACAGAAAGCCAGGAGGATGGCAAGGAGCGTTACTTTAGTTTTATAAGAGACCAGTCCCAAGTCATCCGGTCTGTAACTGGAGGAAGCCGTCAAGCTCTTTTGGATTAAAAACCCTTACAAATGAAGAAAAAGCATTCCAATTCACTACAGAAGAAGGCTGCATGAGGCAGCCAGCAGCCAGGAAACTAGCAGACCACACGCCACACAGGATACCCTGAAGCTCTTATAAGTGGGTTTTACTGTGCAGTGGGTGGATATTTTTTCATGATTCCTAAGGTGTCACGGTGCACTGCATACAAACATACTGAGGGCGGGTGCTTTTCTCGGCATGTACATAGAGAGCATCCATACAAGTCTCCATCGCTCATCTGCCAACCAAGCTCTTTGCAAATATAGAGCCCTCTGGAAAAAGGACACACAGAACGACCCTCTACCGTTCTAGGAGCTTCCTGCGCTGGGCTCTGTGGAGCCTGCAATTTGCTAGAACAAATTCAAAGAGAGCTGTGCAATCACGATGATGACAGCATGCGTGCATCATTCCTGGTGACATTTAACTGCAGAACATATGAACGACTGGACTCTCTTCCCATTCGTCTCACTCCTAACTCCCTCCACCACTGCCATTAACACAGAAACTGGCTGATCTAATGGTGTTGGGTGTGTCTTTGATTGTCTTCGTATCACCGAGGTTCCAAGAAGCAGGAAGGGCCTAGGCTACACTGCCTGGCCCATATGTGCTCAAAGTTCAGGGAGTCACAATTCTAGGACCCCACCCTCCCACACCCCTATTTTCTACCTAACCTTGGCTCTATATTGTTCTTGCATCTGTAGAGCCTAGTGCACGAAGAGGTTGGGGCATTAGCTTCCCAGCTCTTAGCCTGTGTGCTGCTCTGGCTAAATCCCACAGCAGAAGGGCTCAATAAGAACAGCCCAGAGCTTTGATTTATTTTATTTTATTTTTTATTTTATTTTAGACACAGTGTTATGTAGCCTAGGCTGGTTTTTCCTTCATAGCCAAGGATGACCTCATACTGGGATTATAGGTGTGCATCACCAGTCCCAGTTTATACAGTTGGGGAACGAACCCAGGTTTTGTGTGTGGTAGGCAAGCTCTATCCACTGAGCAACATCAGCAGCCCCCAGCTTGGAGCAACAAAAAGAGCTAAATGTAAATGTACAGAAGATGAGACCCAGTTGTCTCAAATACATTTACAGCTTTCCTGTAGTCTGGGAGCCCTGCTTAGACAAATCTTCCTTTCCAGGGTTGAGCTTATACTGCAGGCTTGTCCTAGTGACAATCAGCCAGGCCCTTTCCCTGCCTGGCACTAGAGCTACTTGCTACTCTCAGCCTTGTATCTAGGCACTGGGAAAAGAGGCCCAGGTCCAGTAGTGAAGTGAACTGCCTCCTCTGGGACAGAGCCACAGAACCCCAGAGTTTTCTTTTAGCTCATCTAGACCTCAAGTCCAAAGTCATGATTTCTCGCTCTGCAAGCAGATATGTCTTCTAGGGCTTGGTTCTCAGTCCCTACTCCTACAGGGCAAATACCCACCTGAGACACCTGAAGTGAGGCTAGCAAGCCCCTCCAGAAAGTTCAAGACCAAGTAGTGATGGCCTTTAACACAAGGCCAAGAAATGAGAGAGGTTGCAGGACACCCCATGTCTCTGACTATGCATTTCCACCTATCCCCTTAGAACTACCCTTAACTTCGAGAATTCAGGAGCCCCCACCTGCAGCAATGAGGATGTATGGGTCCTTCAGCAAGGTCGTTAGAGGTGTCCCCTTCTGACTCTGTCAGGCAAAAACAGGGGTTAGAAAGAGTTACCTGGGCCAATCTTGGGCCCTCACCTCCCAGCTGCTCACCTCTGGCTGCACTCGGGATGGCTGGAGCACAAAGAGCTGAATAGCTACAAGAGAAAAGTACACATGACCCTTCTTGGAATGTAGATATGGCCCGAGCACATGGCATTACAGAGGCCATAGTCACTTACCTCCATCCAAGAGTACCAGGGCAGCAAGCACCAGGAAGGGAGCTGTCTTCCCCACAAACTCATAAAGCACACTCCCGAAGGGGGGTCCCACTACAGGAAGAGAAAGAGATCCTCAGGACAGCCATGTTAGATGGGTGCCTCTCCCCATAGGAGAACCATTATTTGATTCTTATGCTTTGTTCCCTAAAAGATCTGGGGTGCCCACCTTACATTCAGCCTATGCTGAAGAATGTTCTCAACTAAGAAATGGGAAGAACACAGAAAAGCATCCTCAAAGACTGAGGGCCTGAAGCAAAAGGGGTAGCCAGAGAGCTGTGTTCTGTACAGGAGGGTCTACAGATCCATTTCTTTGCTACCAGCAGACATGGGAACAACTGGTTCTAGAGCAAAGGAAAATGTAAAAGGTGGGGAAATGCCTTCAGGTAAAGTATCTGTCCCCTGGCCTGGGATTTCATAACAAGGATGGACAGGTGTCATGGCAGATAGAGAAGGCTAGAAGTTTGTCTCAGATTATAACTCAGAATTTTTAGAGTAAGGGAACTGACAGACCATTCTACCCAATCCTGTGTTTTACATTGCAGCCCAAAATATTTGGAAACAGAGGCCAGGGAGCCTATGAAGTTTGGAGATCAGATCCTCCCTGCAGGGCACTCTGCTCACCATTTCTTAAAGGCTTCGTGGGGATTAAAAAACACAGAAGAGAGCTGGATGTCTGTTCACAGGAATGTGGACATGGGCTCAGTGTGGCCAGGACTAATGGGCAAGGACCACTGTAACCCAATGCCAAACAGGTCTCACCTGCACAGTGGCTAGTACGTACCTAAGACCCCCATGGCCAGGCCGCCCAAAGCAATCCCCATGGCGTTACCCCTCTCTTCATCATCTGTGTACACGCTGGCCAGCATGCCCATCCCTAAACAGAAGATCCAGTTAGTGCCCATGCACCGGGCAGTACCAAGAACATCATCCATGATATCCTCCTCCCGACCCCAAGCAGGCTATCTTCCTGAGCCAATGAAATAATGAACTATGAGGCTAAGCAGAACCCAACAGGAAGGTGAACACAGTCTGCAAAAATCTCCCTCCCTCCTCCCACCACCCCCACTCATCTACTTCCAGTCCCTGCATCAGTCGTGAGTGCCCAGCTGGGGTCCCCACCCACTGATGTCTTCATGCCTACCAGCCACTGACGAGCAAGAGGAGCCGATTCCCTGCAGGGACCTGGCGATCAGTAGGAAAGCATAGCTGCTGGAGAAGGCAAACACTGCCAAGAGAGCAGGCCCAGACCCTCATATCAAGGCCATGCCTCTGCCCATAGGACAGGGATGTCCCAACACTGTGTGAGCTTGGAACCCTCCCTTAAACTCATGAGTGTATCCATACTCGAGGTTACAGGTTGATCCATGAAGCCCCCCACACACACCTTTCTCTATATTGCCAGTACACCCCTTCCTCCCCCAGGTCTAGTCTGATTCGCACCTCGCTGGAGACAGGGCACCTTTGGAGACCTGAGTACAGAGGCAAACAGCAGATACTTACTAATTGTTGAGATAAACATGATGCAGAATCCAGCAAACATGGGAATTGGATAGCCAATTCTGAAAGACACAGACACAAAGAGAGTCTGGTGGCTGTTTTTGTAAGGCTTTAGATTGATTTTCCAGCCCTTATCCGTTTGGGATCAGCTGGATAAGTGTTCTGTCGACTTGTCTGAGAATTCATATACTCAGTGCTTCCTACGTGACCTTTCTGTGTTTGACTGTCTTAGAATATGAATACACTTATGTGCCGCTGCCACTCTGAATGGAAATTTCTCTGGAATAAATGTTAACACAATATTGGCAAGTAACCCCAAACATATCTAAAAGACAAAAACCCCATTTCTGCCATTATGGTTATTGTCATTAGTGTAGTCTTTGCTAGAACTTCCCCAAAGGGACAATAGCAGTCAAATAGCTTTGATAAAAGGCCAGCAAGTGAGTCACCAGGCAAGAAAGACATCAGCACCATGTCTAAGATGTACTAGAAATCAAAATGTTAAAGCCCACTTTCCTGTTGACCACTCCCAGCCTAGAAGGCCTTGTTCCTTATACCAAGAGTCTAAGTCCAAGTTGCTTTGTAGGACCAGTGTCCACTAAGGATTCTGGCAACAGGCCATGTTGTATCAGGAAGGCATGTGTTTGGTTAGATACTTTCCCTTCCACAACCCCTGGCTCTCAGGCAAGTTTCCTTTGGTCTCCAAAGAGAGACAAAGGCTACACTTTGAACCAGATTATAGAAAGGTATCCAAACGTAACTGTCTACCAGGGAGTCTCAAAAAAGAAATGCTTCAAATGTTTTATTTGCTCTCTCGTGTGTGTGTGTGTGTGTGTGTTTATGTGTGTGCATGTGTGTGTGTGCACGCGCGCGAGTGCACCTTGGTGTACGTCAAAAGTCAATCTTTAGTGTCATCTATGAGAATACCATCTACCTACTTTGAAGTATCTCCTACTGACCAGGAGCTCACCAAGTGGGCTAGACTGGCTGACCAGAAAGCCCCAGGAGTCCTCAATACTGGGACTGCAGTGGCAAGTCACCAGGACAAGCATTTTTTACATAGATTCTAGGGACCAAATGCAGGTCTTCATGCCCACATGGCAACTGACTGAGCCACCTCTCCAGCCTCTCCTCCTTCATTCTGCTCCATTTTCTTCTTTCCTCTACCATGTTGGCATAGGAGCATGGCAGCAGTGTCCACACATCTCTGTCCTGGAGGTAAAGCCAACACTACCTAAGCTGTTGTCCTGTGGCTAGTTCTCTCAACCTAACAAAGCTCAAAGCTTCTCAGGCCTCTTCTCCCTCCAGCTTGAAATTCCAGGGACCTGTAGAGGAACCAAATGGATCCCAAAAAGAAGAAAACCAAGCATGCCAAGTCCAGGCCTACATAGAAGGGCTCATCTAGTCCAGACCGGCACCCAAAGTGTCCCTTCAGCACATTCCTTGGAAGGTTTTATACCCAGTCCCATGAGCAGCCACACAGCCAGCTCCACGACTTCCTAAGAGTAGCTGACCACCTCCTCACTTCACAGATGGGGAAACTAGGACATGAAAAAGTGACTTGTCAAACGGCATTGAGCTAACTGTACTTGAGCTATGTCCTCCAGGCCAGGGCTTTTCCTTGTAAATCTGACCACATTATTAGGTAGCCAGAGTTCATAGATATGGTTCTGAGTGGAATCTTACCAACAGTTCTTTTGTCATAGATTGTGTGATGTGTGTGTGTGTGTGTGATTTGTGTGTGTATGTGTAATTTGTGCATGTATGTGTGTGTTTATATGTGGTATGTGTGTCTGTGTGTGTATGTGTATGTATGTGTTTGTATGTGCGTGTTTAACTTGAATTGTATTGGGCAAACAAAAGAGAGCACCCTAGCCTACATGTGCGCCACACTCTATACTGATCAAGCTATTGTGGGAGTGGCCAAGTAGTCACCTTGGCAACATCCTCTGCTGGTGCTTAGTCCCAAGTTAAAGAAGATTGAATGACTGAATGAGCACCTCGTGGGCTTCCACTCTCAGACTTTCTTAGCCCTCTCTGTACACGCACACAGCCACCCTCAGAAGAAGAGCTGTGTTCATGGCACTGAGCAGAGGCGGTGACACAAGACCCTTCCTCCTTCCCCCACATTGTCTCTGAAATGGACAGGGACTCGATTGACATGAGTCATAACTGTCTAAGTTTTCTCTCTTGTCTCAACTCAATGCCATCTCAATTAAAGCATTGCTAGCAGGACTAGATCTGATTCAGCAGGCCTATATCCGAATGGCCCACTATCAACGCCTACTGAGTCACACCGTACCACAGTCATCCTTTACACAGCACCAGGGAATAATTAATCCAATTTAAATGTAACTAAAAAATCATATTGATTCCCTCAGAAAGCATTTAGAACAATAGATGTGATCCTGGCTGCCAGAGATTGTGGGCAGAGAAACCCCAATGCCCTAGTTTGCTTTCTAGTGCTCTGTGACACCATGATGAAAAGCAACCTGGGGAGGAAAGGGTTCATTTGGCTTACAGGTCTCAATAATCATCCATCACAGAGGGAAGCCAGGACAGGAACTCAGAGATAGAAACCATGGAGGAACACTGCTTACTGACTTTCTGACTATGGCTTGCTCAGCCTGCTTTTGTATCTAACCCAGAGTGGCATGACCCACCATGAGCTGGTTCCTCCCACCTCAATCACTTATTAAGAAAATACCCCACAGAGAGGATCACAGACAGCTTTGATGGAGACAATTCTACCCAGGTTCCCTTTTCCAAGATAACCTTCGCTTGTGTCAAATGGACAAAAAAATAATGGGTACATCCCTCTGACAATTGATACGTATTCTGCAATGCCACTAAATTTCTTTTTACCAGAAAAACTAACACAGGCTCTCTTCTTGGTTGGCTGGAATGATAGGATGGCCCCCTCTGTAAATGACAGAGAAGACAGATATAAACAAGAATAAGATATAAACCGGATGCTGTAGAACCTGATCTGTTGCCGGCAGCAGTGCAGCCTCCCTTATAATAATCTCTGCACACCCCTAAAAGGTGCAACAGGAAATTAATGTCAAGAAACAGGAATATCTCAAATTCACTCTGCTCTAACAGGAAGTTTATTCAATATTTAGGAAATGAAATGAAACTCTTAAGCCCATCTCTTGCGTCAGCTGGAGTTTGGGCTAGATGTGTGCAAGGACCTGTGTGGACACCAGAGCTGCCTGTGTGTGAGTCTCTGTGCTCACAGGAGAATGCTCTAATTCCTGGTTCCTTCTGGTTTCCATGTGAGAAGCCCATAGTGAGCTCATTGTCCCCTCCCCACCCACGCCAGTGATGTCTAGGATGGGAGATCCCTTTCCCGAACAGCTGGCTTCCCTGTCTGCAGATGAGCTGAAAAGGTCAGTGCTTTCTACAAAGCCTACTTCATACCAAGTGGCTGAAGCTAGAGGAAAAAAAGAAAAAAAAAAAGAAAGAAAGGAGAAGATTTCAGAAAGCTTTCATGCCCTGTGGCTTCCTGCTTGTCGTTCAGGGTTAGCTAAGATCTGGGAGAAAAAAACAACTGCTTTCAAATATACTAGGTAACTATGGAAATAAATTAAGCCTCCAACACTAGCTTGATAAAAAGCAGACCACCCAGACAATGACAGGCTAAGAGGGAAGTGAAGGGAGCCCCTCCCAGGCATGGATGGAGTTCCTGCTCCCTGGCCGGCTGCTGGCTTGGAACAGCTCTTGGTTCTAAAGATGTAACTACTATTTAAACCGGATGCTGGACATGTGGAGACAACCCAGCCTCGCTTGGACTGAGGATGAAGCTGAACGGCCACTCACGCTTAGCATCTGAACTTAAACCTTCTCACACAAAAGGAGAGAGAAGGAGAGAGAAGGAGGGAGGGAGGGAGGGAGGGAGGGAGGGAGAGAGAGAGAGAGAGAGAGAGAGAGAGAGAGAGAGAGAGAGAGAGCATGCCTTTTCTGATTTGTGAAAGAGAAAGGTAATGAAGTTTTCATATCATTTGTCTGTATAAAGTGTTCACGTACATACATGTGTAGACACCACTTAGCGCAAACGACGACAGAACTCACTCTCAGAATCCTGCTGTCTCCATTGATACACAGCTACTACTATGGAATGGACAGTTCAACTGGAATTATAACATAAATCAGATGAGCCTCCACGAGAGAAATGGACCAAGGCCGTGATATGTTAGACAATGTTACTGGATGTGCAAAAGTACATGCATGTTCCAAAATGAAGCATCCTTCCTTTACCATCCTGTCACAAGGTGGCAGCGAATATACAGTAGCCCGAGAATAAATAAAACGAGAAAAAAAGTTGCCCAAAATGGTCACCTTAAGGTGTTCTTAAAGTTCAGTGTGAGACAGTATCCCATGACTTCAAGCAACAGACAAGCAGCCTGATATCTTGTCTCATCACATAAAAGCCACTATGCTGGCAACATTTTGGTCATGAATGTTGACGTGTGAGTAGACACTGCAATGTGGTTATCTGGGCTCACAGTGGGTCCATCTTAAGCTAACACAGGTAGATATTAAAGAGGAGGGCTCCCACCAGCCAGGCTTGAGAGGATCCCCAAATCTTTGAGAGTGTCTAAGCCTGGACCAGCTCACACTGGAAGCTGAAAAGAGACTTTTTTTTTTTCCAGAGCTGGGGAAGGTCTAGATGGGAAAGACTCAGGCTGTCTTAGTATTTAAGTTTTCCACTCACAGATTTAAAAATGTGCCTTTACCGATTAAAAGTAACAATTTTACACTTGTGTTGTTTCTTTTTAATAGCTAAAACTAAAAACTGTATCACCGCAAGCAGGAAAGAATGGGAGAGGGAAACAGGACATCTTAGAAATGAAAGCTGTCTGTGTCTGACCAGCATGCTGTTCATGCCATGGTTGTGAGTACTGTTTCCTGCTGTACCATAACCCCCTTTACCTCTAAAATCCTAGGAGCAGCACAAAGACTTCTGATAAAGTCTACAGACTGTTTTTATGACCTTCTAGCCAGGAATCTAGGAACTGCTATTCAATGTCATTTAGGTGTGCATCCTCACAACACAAAATGTGAGTTACATATGACATTTAGTCAAAAACATGCCTGTCAATATTAAAATGTAGGTTTAGACACATTTGTTTACGATATTTAAAACGTGACTCATTCTTCTTGCTGGTAACTGAAATCTGAACAAATTACATCAAAACTGTTTGAAGCGCCTTCCACGGAGACTGGGGGGAGCCACCAAATAAACTTGTTGCTCTTTGTCAGTCTCCATCAGAATCATGGAGGAGAGGAGAGCCTGTGAGTGACCTGAGGAACAGCAAGTCTCTAAATCTGTAACTCCTGAGCTTAGACAGTACTCAAAAAATGTACAAACCGCAGTCATTTTGAAGGGAGAACAGAGTTCACCTGATTGTTCTGCTTCTGTCAATATTAAAAACATTTGCGTTTTTGTATTCCCAGGCAACACCATAAACAAAAATGAATGAATGAATGAATGAATGATCACTTTTTAAATTTAATGCATATCTAGGGCAAACAGGAGTTTTTGTTCTAGCTCATTTTCAAACTGGACTTCTCACCCTAAGATTATAGGCTACAGTTCACAAACCCCAAAGCAAAATTAGGATTTTTCTTGGGAGAAAGTCTGAGACACAAGCCTAAGGAGCTTCAGCTGTACAGCTCTAGGGGATATTTAAGAGGGAAAGGTCTCACTGACTTTAACAAGCGGCACCTCAGAGATGTATGTAAAACATTAAAAACAAGATTGAGATTTTGAAAGAGCAACTTGTCTGTGGCTCCCATTTGGAAGACTGGAATATTCACCTCATTTCAGCAAGTTGGCTAAGTATTACCCAGTGACTAGTCGCATTCCTGCCTGAGTGAGTGGCAGGGCATTATTACGATAATGTCCTCAATTTTCCCATATAGCATTCGAGCTGTTTGCTCTGTCAGAGCACAAAACCCTGAGCCGTTTTTCCGTAATTATACCAGATGCATTTAAAGAAGTGCTCTCAGTCTTGAAAAAGAAAAGAAACAAGCCTTTGACTCCCGAGCTCTGTTTGGTTTTGTGCTGGAGAACAGAGGAGCAGCAGAATGTCACCTCCATAATGGGGCTTCTCAGTGGGTGCACAATCAGCCATGCCTGGTTCATTTGCTTACCACCATGCTTTGTATGGAAACCGTGTGGTATTGCTCAGAAGACAAGAGGAGTGTCTGAAGCCTGGGGTTGTTAACACAGGCTCAGTGGCAGTACCCAGTTCACAGAGAGCGAGCACCCTGTGAGTAGAGCAGCAGCGGCCTACATGCCCAAGCACAGCTGGTACTGGTGGGGCATTAAGACTTGCCGTACCCTTCCTGATTGCTCTGAGATTACCCCAGGACTCCTTAGTACACAAATCCTGAACCCCAGAGAGGCACAGGGCTCCTCTCTGGATCTTGCTTAGCTCAGTGCTATAGTTGATCTTCCATGTTTTGTAACATTTCAGCACCAGCCCACATTTTTCACTTACAAAGTAACCTACAAACTATCTAGCCACACCTGCTCCATACTGCTGGGCTCTCAGACTCTTCTTCATTGTGCCTCTGGGATCTGAAATAACTCACTGGCCCCACAGTCAAATGCAGTTGTCTCTGGCCTAGCCCTTGGGATCTTGTAGCTTCACCTTGGAACCCCTGCCTGACCACAATCCCAGCTCCTGATCTTAGCATCATCTCATTCTCGAAGCTCTTGTCCTTGTCTGTAGTTACAGCTATGGGCCTGAAACGATGGTCACTCCCTTGTCTACCATTTTTAAAAAAGAGACAGAATCTTGCTTATGTAGCTCAGGCTGGACTACTATTTACTTGTATCCTAGACTTATCTTCATCTTCTCCTAGGTCAGCCTCTTCAATGATGGAATTACGACTAACTCCACTAGCTCTCACTCATCACAGATGACGTCATCAGGAATTGCCGTAACCTGGGCTTGGAGTCTCCAAGCACAAGGCAGACCCAGGCCACCTTGGATGGAGAACAGTTGCAGAATAGCTGTCAGCAATAGAGTCAAAGATACCAAGTAATTCATAGCCTCCAGGTTAACTCAAAGCTAATATCAGCCTCTTGGGTTCTGAGACAACGGTCTCCATTCTCTAACTTTGGAGCACGTAGAAAGCATGGAGTGACCAACCAGGGGGGAGAGGTCCTATCCCAGAATCCCCACATCAGCTCAGAGTTTCATCCACGCAGCAAGGTCACCAATCCTCCCAACATTCTACCTGGGCAGCTATTAGGTCCTTCATCACGATAGTCCTCAAACAAAGCATCTTCTCTTTCAGCTTTCTCTTTCTTGTTTGTTGTGTGTTTGTTTTGTTTTGAGGTAGGGCCACATGTAGCCCAGGCTAGCCTTAAATTTGCTATGTAGTAAAGTTGACCTGGAATTTATTATCCTCCTGCCTCTCTCTCCTGAGTGCTGAGATTATAATCATAGTGCCAGGTTTTTGTAGCATTGGATACTGAACCCAGGGCTTCTTCATATATGCCAGGCAAACACACACACACACACACACACACACACACACACACACACACACACA